TTTCGTGGAGTTCCTGGTTTGAATGAGAACCTCTGTGGTGGAGACATGTCTTTGTCATTTGTGCACTCAGCTTCTGCTAGACAGTGTGATGATGCAGCTCTTCGTGAAAAAATGGAGGAACTAGAAAAGCTAAAAGCTGAAGAGGTAAATGATTGGCATTCAATTGATGGGTGCACAAGACTTAGTGTCAGCTCTAGACAATAAGGGAAATGGGGAGATAAATAATAAGAAAGCCTGCCCACAAGAAGTTGGTTTCCGCATACCGTCAGCTCGAAGATTCCCAGCCGCAGCCTGTGCCCCTATCCAGCTCCTCTAGAGCTTCCATGCAGGCTATGTTCAGTTTCAAACATCCATTTACTTAAGTCAATGCAACAACCAGATGTTTATTTGTTTTTTTCCTTCGATATGAAATTCTAAATAAAGTGAATGATTTCTAATATTTGCAGGAGGAATCTGACCCAGAAGACTCTCTCGAAAGGTACTTTCAAGTGTTGCTGTTTTTTTTTACTTTGATGTTGACTGTTTTTATCTAACTGTTTTTTCAGCTTTTGTTAGTTGGTTTTGCATCTGACGTTTGCGTTTTTCCATCGTCTTTTCCTTGATACCATTGAAACTGTATTTTTTCTCGTTTTAGCTCTAAACCTGTTGAGCACAATTTTATCTTGACTCAGTTTTACTTTCCAACGAGATGCAACTATTGCAGCAAGAAGGTATTGCCGACCATCCAACTATCCATCAATCCAGTCACCCATTGTCCCATTGTTTAATTCATCCATTCTTTCGCCAGTCCTTTCATTCATTTCTTTGTCTTAAATGTAAAACTTATCAATTATTTCAGTATATATCTTAGGCATGCGTTATGTTTTTTTTAGATCTGGACAAAGGTTGCCTTTCAGTGTAGGAATTGCGGTCTTATTTGTCACAAAAAGTGTCTTGACAGCTGCAGGCGGTTTAGTAGTTGTTTACGGTTAGTATGACTTGACWATGGMTATGACTGTGACTATGACTATGGCAAASGTTATGTCACTGAAGTGCCTATAGTTCTATGACTTTTATTCAACACGTAGATGGCACAAACAGCGAMAACAATCAATGTCAAGAAAAATATTCAATATTCAGCTTGTTTCCGCTAGTACTTGCAATGAACAATAAATTAACAGTAAATTAACAAATAAACAATAAATTAACAGTATTATGAGAACTAATAAATTCTTCTGCGGGATTTTACTATTAGTTCTAGTGGACAGAAATCAAGATGGTTCTCAAAGAAGCCGACAGAAACAAAAGAACAAGATAATTCAGTCACAACYGATGAACAAGCGCAACAAACACCAAAGGATCAGAAAGAAACTTCATCAAAGACAAGCGAAGGCAACAAAGAAAGTGRCATGGAAGGGGAAAAAGTGAAAAATGATAAAGAGAATGAGAAGAATGTGAATGAACAAACCTTGACACAACAAGAGGTAATGGGACAGGGACTATGATTGGTCAATTTATTGATTCAGCTACCTGTGGTACAAAAATTCCAACCCAACTCTACCCTCCCCCCCACTAAATAGCCAACAAACATACCCCTCCACTCAAAAAATGATAATTAAGATAGAAATTAGAGAATATTTGAACAGATGCATGGATGAATAGAAGGGTAAATTATTGGAATGAACTGAATGAACGAAAGGACTGGTGAATTATGGATGGATGAACAAATGAAGAAGGAAATAAAAGTAAACGTTCAAATGAAATGAATCGGGACAGATTGATGAACGAATGAATGCATGCCATACTACAACCAGGGGGCCATACTACAAACAACGATAATAGGGGCGGCAAAGTCGTCTTCTGATGTATAAATAATGGTAGTTCTTTCTCTCCTGCATTTATTTATATGGACTTTTACTGATATCAATTTTCCATAGCTTGCACCCGAGAGGAGTGATGATTCTACTGCAAGTATTGATCCTGCTGAGCRGGAGAAGGGTGAGGCTGTTGCCTCTGATATGGTAGCAGCATCAGAGCAAGTCAAAGAGGTTTGAATATTAACATTAAATCCTCACCAATGMMAATCTTGACAATCATCAAATTGTCAGCGCGCTCACAATAATTGATGATCGCACCCCTAATCATTATAGTCTCTTAAGTGATAGTCATTAATATCATAATCACAAACATAATCGGGTAATAATCACAATCATAGTCGTAATCATAATCATAACATAGTCGTAGTCGTAATCAGCGCAATACTCCAATTTTGAGTTCTGGTTTGCTCTGTGTTAGCCTCAAAACCAAGCAACATATTCTTTTGTTTTATTGATAGCCTGTGAAAACGCATGGAATTTGAAAAGAAAGACAATAGAATTGATTTGAAATCTCACACTTTTATTCTCACAATTAGGAATATTTTGCGCACAAATGAGGCTAACACAGAGCATTGGAAAATACTGGATTATAATCGTAACCATCTCTATCATTATCATAATGATGGTTCTCGTTCTAGATGGGTCGAGAACTTTTCTCAAACTTGCCTCCTGATGAAAGGAAAAGAAAACTCCAAGACATGGTAAGTTGTTTAGTTTTGAYTCAGTTAAACTGAGTTCTCTGTCTACGGAAAATATTGTTAGACAGCGAAACTTCTTGAAGTCAATGATTTCTGTAAATATTCATTAATCAGGACTTGTTTATTAAATGTAGTGTTCTTCGCTGCCCTCCAGGGCTGGCTATTCATACTCTAATTAGTTAATAATTTGACGTGGTTTAGATGGCAAGACTACAAGTGGAAATAGACGAAGAAAATGAAACTCAAGCTGATTTATATATCGCGAAAAAGAGAACAAAAGATAAAAAGCTTAAGGCACATTTTGTGTCATTAATTGTGAGTATAATATTGACAAGAAAATAGCAATATAAACTTCTCCTTATAGCTGGAACTGCATGTATCARACATTGCCTGTTTTGTACTGCAGTCTTTAACACACGGACGGGCCGCGCGACATATATTTTGGATCTGGGGGTCTAACGACCGCCAAAGACGGGAGTATTAAGGGAGTCTGGACCTCCCCCAGGAAATTTTGAAATAATAACTCTTGGAAATGCGATTTCCAGCGTTTTGAGAGACATCGAGGGCATATAAAAGGGATCAATTTTATGTGAATTTTTCAATAATTTTTGTGAAAATCTTCTTTTGTGAAAATATTTCCTTGCCACGCACTAGTACGCASGTGCGTATATGCGTAAAGGACGCTACGCTCCTGAGGATGGATGTCCTTTATTTTCTTTATGTTGGTTGAGTCATAAAAGGATTTGTATTTATGATCCTTTCTAGTTTGACACCGAGAACTTTTAGTGAAAAAAGGCTGTATCCCATAAATCTATCGCCATCACTTCATTCTTTATTGCTTTATCCTCAGTGTCACTTGTGCCTCCTTAGAGTCGATTTCATTGACTAAGAAACGTAATGGTATCCGAATTATTTGATCGTTGACTAATTGTGCGCATTCGTTTCTGCTTACTTGCTACTCCAATGCCTAACAGCATTGTGCAGCGACGCCATTTTGTKGTGGTAGTTGTATTTCCCGCACTTTTTTTTGTTAACAGCTTTTTTTGTTAGCAGTTAATGCTTTTTTTTAAATTAAAGTAAATAGTACTTGTACCATTTCTACGAAGAAAACATAAAAACGGCTTTAGGGAGTTTGCGGTCTATAATAAGTGCGAGCACGACTACTCATGCTTTGTTCAACAAAATGGCGTCGCTGTATATTGCATCATATTGCATCATATTGCCTATTGGGGAAGAATTCAATCATTATTTTTGTTTGTTTACAGGGAAAGTCAGAGGAGAGGAGTCAAGCTCTTGCTATGCTGATGTTGCAGTACTGTGCTGGATTGCAGGACTGCGCTGATGCAGAAGATGAAGGGTGTTATGAATTATAAACATGCCGGCACAAATTATAAATATCTCATAGAATTTCAGTCATATTACATGTATCATGTGTATTGTTCGAGATTTTTAGGATCTGATATTATGCTCTAAAGTACTGAATTGTATAATTTTGAGTTTTTACTTGTAGTATTTTGCCTAGAAAATTGCCATTAGTAATGTTTTTTATCCGGCGACGTAAGCATAGTTAATAGTTAACTATGACTTAAGCAATGTATAAATTGATTACGAAAGAGATTATTTATGTATAATATTGGTATATATTGTTAATTTACGAATAAAAATAATAGACTTACAAGTACAATAGCATGAAGTCAGAAAAATCTGTTACGCAAATTAAAGATCAAAACATTACAGAAAACTTGAAACGGGAGAGTATTTAGGCTACCAATGGTGGGTTGCCTGTGCATTRAATCGAAGAAGACTGAGYCTAGSCAGCGTATCGATTTCCGGTTCCGGTGGGTATTCGCACCTTGTGATTGGCCAAAGGTAAATGCAGCGGGCTTCTTGAAATATAAAAGTGCCAAACGTTCACTTTGCACGCCATTGCGAGTAGAATCAGAAGACTCTTAMTCGTTTATCACAGAAATTCTTACGTTTTAAACTCCTAATTTTACCAAGAGCAAGCTCAAAACTTAATCTAAGTCTTAGACTTTCAGATACTAAAGTAGTGTCTGCATTWACCGTAAAAATATTCTGACAACGAACGCCTTTCCTAGAATAGTTTATGTACGAAATGTCGTTTGCTTTTGGAGGAGCTTACCAACTTTCTAACAATTCCAATCAAGAAATACAAGTGAATAATGCCTTCAAGAAAGCAAGACTAGAAGATGGCCAAGTAAAAGTACAAAAACGTGCCGCTTTGGGCACGATAACCAACAACGTTCAACTTCGAGTCCAACCACACCGGGCAGCGAAGGTTTGCACTCTTCAATTCCATGCTCGTAAAAATAGTTCTAAAAGTAACAGTTTTAASTTTAAAAAGTAAATAACTGAAGAATATGGCATTTCTCATTGTATCTGTGTTTTTTTTTATTTTTCTAGGCCGTAGTGACGAGTCAAGCAGGACTGAAGAATGATGAAAACGCGTACAGTCACCGCGTTGGCAAATCTGCATTTGCAGTTCCTCAAACTACTCAACAGAGCTTYTCAATTCACGTAGACAATGAGCCAAAACTTTCCAAAGTAAAAGAAAATGAAGTTGGCAGTTCGCAGGAGTCTTTTTTAAAGGCTGCCGTCACAGGTTTGTCGCGACCAGCCCTGACGAGTGTCTTCACCAGCAGAGAAGGTTGTGAAGGTAAAAGTTCACAAATCGTGCTCAAGAGCAAGTTTGTGAATAATTTATTGTTGTTAACCTCAAAACATTCAATGTTACCTATACATTTGACTAAAAAGCGTTTAWTTTTTGTTTCAGATTCTCCTATGGTGATAGATTCCGACGTGAGCAGCGACGATGAGGAGTTCGARGCTATCGCCACCGAAAAAGCGTTTGACGAGATCGAAGCCAGCGTTGACCCTGTGCTCGAAGTTTCAGAGTATGCCGAGGAGATGTTCAGATATCTCAAGGCCGCAGAAGTAAGGATTGCCAGAATTTTTTTTTAAATCTAACTCCTTCATGCAAACTATTCAAGTGTTCAAGAAATACCACGTTTGGTTTTGAGGTTTTTTGTTTGCAATTTGAACGAGTTCTGCATAATACATGCGCCGTCGACAAAGAAATTTCTTGGTATTTTATTTGAATATTTATGTCAATTGTTTTCCCCAAATGTGTGATCAATTCATTGGAGTGTGACTGATTGCTCATTCATAATCAAACAGAATATTTAATGTCATTATTTCCCAAATGTAATGTGTTRTATAATCAATTAACATATTTTTTCATGAATTTTTTTCCAGACAAAGTACATGCCTAAATCAAAGTACATGAGAAAGCAAGCCGACATCAACAGCAGCATGAGAGCAATCCTTGTTGACTGGCTTGTGGAAGTCGGTGAAGAATACAAGCTTCTTCCTCAGACTCTTTATTTAACCGTCAACTACATTGATAGATTTTTGTCCATGATGTCRGTCCTCAGAGGTAAACTTCAACTGGTTGGTACTGCTTGCATGCTTTTAGCCTCCAAGTTYGAGGAGATCTACCCACCKGAGGTGTCRGAATTTGTGTAYATAACAGATGATACATACACAGCTAAACAGGTATAGCTATCTGTATAATAATAAAAGCTTTGTTTATAAGACTAGGGAAAAAATATTATTCTAAAATGTCTAAAGAAATATATGGGAAACTGCGAATGTGCCTTCATTTTGACAATTTTTAGGACACCTCTGTTAGATCCCATACATCCTTCGGCCATGGTTTTGTTAATGGAACACAGGAAGTCCAAACCCTAAGAATATAAACAAAATAGAGTTGACTCAGGAGGCAAGATAAATGCATTTTAGAAGAAGCATACAAAAACATAGAGAATAATTTAATCATGTGAATAACTTTATCARCCAGGTCCTAGCAAGGCATATTTGGCACCAAAATATATTCCCTGTTGTCCAGARGGCTTTCTCTCTTCCTCACCAGAATTTCAAAAGTTATTGTTTGTTATGTTATTGATGGTATCTATTTCTCTTTTAGCTGCTGAAAATGGAACAGCTTGTCCTCAAAGCATTAACATTTGATCTATCAGTSCCAACAACTTTAAATTTCTTAGAAAGATACTTGAAGGCTACCAAAGCCCCAGAAAACTTGGCTCCTAAAGTAGAATCTCTTGCAAGGGTAAGGGCKTATTTGAAGAACTCATCTTAGGGACTGTTTACACAAGAGAAAKGATTMTCTTGCTTTCCTATTTTTTAATTTTTTTTTGGGGGGGGGAGGGAGAGTARTTGGATTAATGCTAGCATAGGCAGTATTGTCTGTCTCTCTGGTCTTGAGTWTTTTTGTTGTAGTTATTTGCCAGCTTTCAACTGAGTTACCATGCAAATSAAAAAGCTGTGAAATATTTCAGGAATGTATACCTGACTTAAGCTGGCAAACAAGAAAGCACGACGAACAAAATAAATTTAAAAACTTTGTTTATCCTAAACAAATGAATTGTACTATTTGTGAGCTTTAACAGGCCTTTTTTGGTGTTTTGTTTATTTGTAAATCTGAAGTTTTGATTAAATTTGCATGTGGAAACGAACTAACATGTAGATGACAGTTGATCTTGCTTCTGGTTGATCAGTGAACAATAAAACACACTTGAAATATTTCTAGGTGGTCATGGCTTTTAGATTTGCACTCCAATACATTTGAGGTCATAATCGGATTTCTTTACTGATTTCTCTTAATAACATTTGTCCTGCAATTTTATTATAGTACTTGTGTGAAATCTCACTGCTGGACTGTGATCCTTTCCTGGAATACGTACCATCTACAATTGCTGCATCAGCTGTTGTACTTTCATTGCACACATTAGGGCTTCCTCACTGGGTAAGATCTTTGGTAATAATAAACAGAGATTAAGAAATAAGAGGCTTTGGTAAGATATAAGAAGAGATTTTAAAAAAATAGGCTTACATTTTAGTAATAGTTTCCTCTTCAGCCTCTTTTGTTGGGCTGCCAAGGAGACTATGCTTTTATTGCCTGATTTCAAACTGARAAATGATTTCAAACTGAGAAAGACTGGATAGCCTCTTATTTGGAATATTGGCCCTAAGTCTGAATATAGTGCTAATCAGATTCAACAAAAGGGAACAAAGTTTTTACAGAACCTGTATGAATGCTGCACAATGTGTTCAGATCTTTCAACATATTTTGTGGACACATTTGTGAATACACATTGTATTTATTTCGAAATGATAATCTATGCATATTTGAAAAATTGCTGACCGTTTACTGATTGGTTTGTTGATCCATTTCAGAATGAGAAATTGAGCAGTTATTCTGGATATGAGTTRCATCAGCTACAGTCTTGCATCCAAGATTTACACAGAGCATTCTCCCATGCTTCAAAGCATCCCCAGAAGGCAATCAGAGACAAATACAGCAGTTCAAAGTAATAATTACTTTCAAATTAAATACTCAAACTTAATTTAAAGAATCATAACCAACCACCGTACCTTGCGAGCCGAAGCACCATTTTAGGTGGACACGAAAATGGYGGATTTGTAGGATTTCTTAAAGTGAGTGTCTTCGGTCCTTTCAGTTTGGACAGAAATACCTTTAACTAAGTAYCWCAMAGGTACTATCAATCTATAATTTATTGTATGCTTGACACATTTAAACGTATGTAAACAATAATTAATACGAGTGAGCAAGGTACGGCAGTTGGTTATGATTCTTTAAATGAACAGGKTTTTTTTGACTTCACTCTATAAAACAATTCTTCAGTCTGGGTTAGCGTTTGTTGCAATAACTTTCCTTTTCTGATTTTTCTAGGTACCACCATGTGTCTACTGCTGTTAGTCCGCCCGAGTTCTTACCAATGGTCTAAAATAATGAACCACCATCATATAGGTAGAAGTTTTATTGAATATCAATTTTATCAATTCTTACGTATTGTACATGGCTGATCTAAGGAAAGTGTGTGTCACATTGTAAATACTTCATATACTCGCATTTTTTAATTTTTTTAAATTTTCAAATGATTTTATCTTGTGATTACCATTATTTTAATTTCTCAATATAATTGTCCAAATATAATTGTCTTCAACCTGTGTATTCTTTAATGCTTTTGATTAACAATAGATAAATTATATACCACTTTAATATCATAAAGATTTAACTTAATYGTGACATAGTTTATATTATTAAACTTTCATAATGCTGTATTCCTGGGGTAGRCATTGAACAAAAAGTACTGGATTAATAACAATCAATGACAAATTTAAATTAATGTGAATCACTTCTTGTGGGTATTATGTTCAATGTTTGGCCTAAATTATCACTTCTAGTTTGTGTATTATTGTTCATATTACTGTCCAATGTAGTTTCCAGTTATGGCATAATACATGTATCTCGATGACCATTTCAGAAATAGTTTCCAGATATAAAGGAATCCATTTACAATTTTGTGTAATTCTCTTTAAGAATTTCTATGCTTTTACTGGAAGCACTGTATATATGCACTACAATTTTTGTCCAWGACTGGTTGGGACAGCTGATAAATCAAAAGTTTGTTTCATACTGGATGCTTGGATAAAAAATGTAGTACAACAAGTACTTGTGAAGTACAAATTGCTACTTAATTATTAATATTAATTACATAGAACTTGTAAATACTATATGTGGATATAAAATTGGATGTTATAGCATTGCAGGTTGAATTTGTATATATTTTTATCTGCTTTTTCTCACTTATATTATTTCTCATTTCTTTTTTTTTCATTTTCTATAATCTTTCTTTTTCTTTTCTTTTTGCTATCATTAGTATCCTTTTCAAGTGAACTCTGTCTATTATATATATATGCATTCCGTTATTTTTTTCAAATGTTGGCTTTGCAATATTAGTAAGACAATGTTTTTAATAAGCGAAATATTTCGAAGTGAATGGGAATTATACGTTTTGCGATTCATGATAATATTTTATAGCAATGGAAAGGTTTTGCTGAGTTTCACGACTATTTTCATGCATAYGTAACCAAATAGTACATTTCTTCTCTTTTTTCGTTTCAGTTTTGGTTTTGCACTCTTTACTTCTGATTTCACCTTGTTTCGTTTCTCACTGTTCGCAGCCTTGCCATCCTTGTTTTTCGTCGTTTTTTGGATTTTTTCAGATGCATTYCCATTTTCAAGAAYTTGTTTCTGATTTCCAAAACCCAAGTACCGTCTGTTCTTTTTCGGTTTTGGCCGTCTAGAACCAATGACCCTGTATCCGCCGTCCTCAGTTGGATACATGACACGATTGTCCACGAGACGGCTCAACAAAAACTTGAATGTTTGAACGGTCAGAATGGAGTTTCTTTCCTCATGCTTGGTAGAATAGTTGTGCAAAATGGCATCTCTCATGTCTTCCATACATCTGACATTAGTTTCTTTGATGTTGAACAGAACACCCGAAAAATTTGTAAAAAACATTTGTTCTGTTGGAAGTTCCAAATTTGATTTGATATGAGAAATCTTCCACTTCTCAGAAACTTTTTCGGAATACTGTCCATTTATTGTGGGTATTCTGGAATTCACCCTAAAGGCATCACCAGTGAAATCGAGCTGCTGTACAATGTTTTTGTCTTTGGGACAAGTATTGTCCTTTTGTTCTGAGTTCACTTTTGACCCCACTTTCTCTATCGTATTTGTTTTGTCGAGATTCTTGGAGCGTATATGATCTTCATGAGCTAATTCGCCTTTCCACGTTTGTCGTTTACTCTCTGTTCCAATTTTCTCCGTTTCTCTATATATCCAAATTTCTTCAGACAGAGAATTTGAGTTAATGTCTACAATTTCACTTTCGTTTCCATTTGACAGAGATGTGCAAATTTCGCTTTCATTTGATGTTTTCGCTTGCTTGCTTTCGCAAATTTTCGTGGGGTCTCCAAACAATTTAGTTTTGTTCAACCGATGTAATTCAGATGAACTTTCAATCCCCATGACTATTTTAGTTGTAACTGGATACACGGTGGTGTGATTCTTGCAACTGTCATCGCTATTTTCTCCTATCAAGGAAAAAGCTGAGTTGTTATTTTCGCTTTCGCATTTTAGCTGTTTTTGCGAGTTCCTTTTGTCATCCCTTTCCTTGATATAAATATCATCCCTATTGTCCACTTTGATATCCAAATCATTGTCATCAATATTTTTGAAGACTTTTCTGTAACAAGAGAAGTTTTCTGTTTGCGGGCTATAAACGGCAGCAGCATCTTTCCAAAAGAAACTCTTCAAATAAAAATCCGCATAGTCGTGCAACTTGTCCTTCTCAAAACTCGTGTCGTGCAACGCTGCTGCGTTAATATTAACTTTGTTTGGCATGGCCCTTTTCGCGTAAATAGCCACGAAATTTCCAGACTTTGAAGTCGTCTAACTAGAAAAAAAAAATATTCTGCACTGTATATTCGTCTTTTTCTGCTTTCTGTAACGCTATTACTTCCAGTTCTGACTATTTTTCTTGCTGTAAATTTAAACAAGGGACATACCCCGATTGTCTTGTGATGTTTACATGTGATTCAATGTTTAGCTACGTGTTTCTTGCTTGGTTAGCCATGCAAACTGTTTCTGCTCGGACTCACGATGTCAATCGCAGTCGTGCGACAATGCCATGATCTGCAAAAGCAGGGTTTCAAGCTCCAATAAATCGAAACCTTACCCGCTGCTCTCCTATTGTTACAACTGAGCCCGTCAATCTTCAAGGTCAAACAATCCCAGATTAGAATAAAGCTTGGCTATCGTCCAATGATCTTTTGGGTTGATTCATTTCTTGGAGGGACCGATGAATCCAGATTTTAGATATAATCAACCAGGATATTCGAGTGGGTACTGGTAGGAAATGTCTTCAGGGTTTTCCCTTGACAATATACATATTTTTTCTCCAACAACTCCGTCTTCTGTTTCAACATGAAGCTGTCAAATCACATGTGGCGAAAACGTGATCTATAGAAGTTGTTTTTCAATATAAAGCGATCGTTCTCGTATTACCAACAGCAGGCATGGAAAAGAAAAGTATTCTATATTTCTACAGTCCTAAATAAAGCAATTTTTAAAAAAAGTTTGTTTTATTTAAGAATCTTTTAGTTCCCTTTCATTATGCGTAAATAAACGTAGTGTTTAGGAAAAGTCAAGGTTGCAGATTGATTATATAACACTAAAAGCAAGTGGGCAGGTCTGGAGGCACGTTTGTGGGGGAGGTGGAGAGGGCTGTTCGTCTCCCGTKTCGAGACTCGGTTACCTTCTTGTAGCTTCGAGCTTTCAATTTTTCTCAGGGCGCTTGCCCTTTTTGCCAGCACCTCGCCCAACTATAAAAACTCGCTATTCATGCGTTTAATTTTACACGTGTCGACTTCAATGCAAACATTTCTAGCATATTGCTTTTGCTCATTTTTCTCAATCGCAAGTTCAATGTTTTAAATTGATTGCACGAGCTTCTAGATCATTCTAGCCCTGAAGCTACGTTCATTTTTTTAAAAGTTCGTTTCTCATTGTGCTCTCTTTCCATCTTATTCAAAATATGAGAATTTGTACAAGTCGCTTATGCCTCAATCCATCATCATCTTTCACATCTTCCCCATGCCATTATAGATTATATAAAATACTAAAACGTTCACTTTAGTTGTGAATATTAAAACGAACGACGTGTCTCGGCTAACACAGTATCTAAGCATTTATCAAATGGCTTTATTCAATTTATTTATTGAAGTTATTTAAAAAAATAAATAAAAAATTGAAAAATAAAGTAAAACCCTTAAAAGCATGTCAGTCATGTGATCATTCTGGTTGAATGAATATGAGTGTTTACGCCAAATTAATGAAATTGCGCCACGAAATACTCGTTGCTCTGGTTATCACATTGTTATCAACTTCTTCAAATCACTGACAGGCGTTTGAAGAAACTATTTCAGTTCTTTGAAACAAAAGTCCTGAAGCTACACTTGAGACTGGCTTGAGAGTCCACACCGTCATTGAGCTTTAAACTTGGGAATCTTAAAGGTATGATATCATTTTTCAGAACTTTGTTCATTATATTTTTAAAAGTTACTATGCACTCTCTCGGCTAAAAAGAAAACCCACAGCTTAGGTAACTCAATCATCGAGTTTTCAAAAAGATCTGAAACATGTACATGTCATTTGTAGTTCATTATATAAGTTATGAATTATATACGTACTGATATTATGGTCCGTAAATAAAACATACATGTACTGGTAATCAGCTGCTGAACTACAAAGAAGGCAAAATACATGCATTGAAAGTGCCTGGTAACCTGACATAGCAACCATCCTGTCCAATGGCTTCGCTATCAACGATTTACAGGTTTTTTTCGATGCTTTGAAGAAAATTAATGTGAAAATGGCAAAGAATTGAGCGAAGCACTGTGCTCAACCATGTATAAAGTCAGAAAACGTCTTTGGTTTTGTCCTTACATGCCCATGATGCACTCTGCAAAAAGCATTTTGTTGTCTTCAGTTTCTTTAGCTCAAAATAGCGACATTTCATATAATCATGCATAAAATCATGTATTTTTTCAATAAWTTTTTTTTTGAGATGCAAAGCGCGCATACTTTCACATTTATTTGCTCAGTGATGACCGCTTATTATGTATAGCTSAATTATATATTTACGAAATGTAAAAACTGCAGCTTTATATTTGTTTTGTGACTGACAAATACGGACGAGCTACAAAAAAAACATATCTGTATAACAAAATATCAATTTTTTTTTAAGTTAAAAAAGGCGAAACAAGTGAAGAGGAAAATGAACATTGTAACAGGAGCTGTTTCGATTTTGTTTTTGTGTTTTTCTCRAAGTAGATCTTCGGTCTATTTTCCTTAAACGCAATGGTATCGATACGCAATGCATCCAAAGTGTATCACTTCTCCAGTAGCTTTACTGGCAATGTTTGAGTCAATAACTATATTACTTTATGAGTACACTTGCAATAGTCCTTATACAACAGACATACAAAAMATTTAAGAATGTGTCGTGCTAAATCTTATCTCATCTCTCGATCAGAACGCTATGCAGATTTTAAAATTTCTTTTTTTTCTAGAATATCCAGGATCAAGGATCAACTCAAACACAACTAAAYAAAAAGATGGTCTGAAAATCATCTTATTCAACATGAATCTAATAGTAATTCCTGTAGCAGGAATTGTCTTAACATCGATTGCTCTGTTAATACTCCTGGTTCTGATGATATGGTGTASTCTGGCAAGAACACAAAAATTCATCCGCAAAGAACGAAAACTTCGTGATGAGATGRTTGACAAGTATGGTTTTGAAGCAATGAATAATTACTCCTACCGACCAATCATGACGATTTGATAGTGKTGGATCWAGAAGTTTGTCAGGRGGAGSGTGGAACAAAAGGAAGAAATATAGAAACTGGTATTGACACCGAATGGATTTGCCCCTGTTTGGAATATCTTGTTAGCCCTTCATTTCTCATGTAMAGCGATAAAAAATAACTGAAAAATACATATTCTCTCCTGGAATAGACCAATTGGTTATTAATTGAATTAAAGAAACCGTATTTTATTGCTGGGTTTATCAAATATTGATGGGGTCTTAAAAATAGTWATACAATATAATTAACGTTTTTTTGATCTCCGCACGACTTCCCATCCTTCTTCTTCCTCATCATTTTTAACTTCAGCTTTATTTTGTGACATTTCTTGTAAATCTGAATTGGAGAAAAAAATGTCTTTTTTAAACATGGACTATATAGTAACTGTATTATTTGTTTTTGTTTTTATCACTTATTATTCAAACGATAAGTCGATAACAAACAAAAGACAGCAGGGATAGCAGAGCAGTTTTTTTTGTTGAGGGGGGGGGGGGGGGGGGGGGGGGAAGCAATTTCTTAGCCATCCACACCTATCATTCACTATTGTTGACTCTCATATGTGTTTGCTTTTATTTATTCTCATTATTGTTATTTTTACTTTTTATTCTCAAGAATTAAAGAAAAAAATTTCAGAAAATTATTGAGGGGGCTAAAGCCACCCCAGTTCCCTGGCTCCGCCATCCCCTTTATTGRATGTCCCAATTATTGTTCACAAGCTAAATTWGGTGTGACTGTAGATGGTAGAGGGAATGCACTTCATCTGTGAAATATTAACTAATAGTCTCCTTCACGGTTACCCGCGCCATGTTGAAAGGTAGCCGTGCCTTTGYATCGAAGCGAGACAACCGTTGAGCGTGCAATGATAGAAACCTGTRAATAATTGTCTGTAGGTGTGAAAGAAGGTTTCTATCATTGCACACTCAACTGGCACCTCTATGGACAACCCTTGGAATATATAAACCAATAATCTTAAAAGAATACATAATTTTATTTGAGACATTGAAACATTGGCAAACAAACAAGTCTTACTTGATGTAATGCTGAGGTTTCCAATTCCTTCTTGGATGCTATTGCAGTGAAGACATGACGTAYTGGAGCTAGTAGCAGCTTCACATGTACACTGCTGACTGGACTCCAAGGTCTAGAACAAGAAAATGTATGTCATATTAAAAACATACGTCGTACAGAAGCTCAATCCTTACCAAAACTTAAAGTTTTTAATAATGCAGTTGGCTCAATAAACTACCATGAAAGCTGTTGGCTTGCCTACAAGGTTTTCATTAGAAACTGGCAAATGGCGAAATCCAGCATTTATTTTGACCCTTGGGCTGTCTACTTTTCCAAAATTAACATTGTAATGCTTGTGGCCCCTTAGGATTGACATATAGTTACTTTTTCAAAACAGCCACCTACTTCCAAGTTWTATAAAACCGTTGTGCCTACGCTATATTTCTGAAGGCATTTGGCTAAGCAATTAAAAAGGAATGGACTTGAGCCAGGTATTAGCTAATCCCACAAACTTAACAATTCTACACAATTTCTACAAATGATGATCCAACTGAAAACAGACCTTTCTTCAAAATATACACCAAGTTTTTCACCTATGTTTCACTAATGCCAGAAGCCATTTTGAAAAAAGGTGGACTTTATTCATTCAATGAAGAGAATATTGTACCTCATCCATGTCTTCATCACAATCATCCTCTTTTTCTTCAGCTTTGYCAGACTGTGTTAGCTTTACTGGTGATATAGACTGGATTTCTTTTTGTATATTTTCTGTCTTTCCAGTTCTCCATTGGGATTGAAATTGACAAAGTTTTTGAGATATCTACAACACATAAATACACTTAGTAATAAGGACAGAGGAGTAATATAGTTTATGTGAATATAGTCCCTGGATATTAGAGAATTAGATGTATTCATAGGTATGCCATTAGTGAAGCTGTAGTCACTAGTCCATGAAGTTGAYTACTGATCGAGGGTACAGTTGCGTGGGATGTTCAAATTAAGTGGACACGTATTCTATAGTCTAGCCTATTTCCCACCTTTTCTAAGCTACCATCTTCAACAACCGTATCAAATTCGTTATATAAGATTTCACTAATATAGTCCTCTAACTCATCACATTCTACTRTTTCTGAAATGAGAAAAATATAAAAATAAGCTTGTTATTAATAGACTCTCATTCATTTAAGAATAAAGATATAATGACTCTTTCTCTTTCACATGTACTTACACTTCTAAAGAACGCTTTCATTAAGATAAAGTGCACTTATTAAATCTAACTCTCGTTTTAATATCAAAAAAGAAACTTAACTAATTAACTTAAGTTAATATTCCATCAAACTTTTAAGCTTACTTAAAGCTAAACTTACGATTATCAGTTAAAACCTGAACTATGACATCCTTAAACCAAAATACTTTATCCCTACTATCGGCTCCACCAAACCCATGCTGTACAGCTAGTTGTAATACAGTCCAGTTGTCTAAAACAAACTCAACTGCTTGTGGTAAAATATCTACTGATCCGGCAGCCATGTTGTTTTCGTAAGTTATAAAAGTTTACCGCTGGCTAAACCACAGGTACCCCATCATTTTCTTCTTTTCAAATATGAAGCTTACTTTCTCTTGTATTTCTCTTGTATTTCCTAGTATTTTTGCTACTCTGCTTATGACTCCAAAGTGTCAATGCAACACGCATTGGTAAATTTTGGCAGGAATCTCTGGCGGAATCTCAAAATCAAAAATATTTGGGAATCCTGTGCCAGAATAGCATCCAGTCCTACCCTTCCGTATTAGAAACAAGATGGCTGAACTCGATAAAATCGAATGCAAAACGTGTGGGAAACGTTTCAACAAAAATTGGAAGCTAGTTGAGCACGAAATGTCACATACTGGAGAGGTAAGCTAGAATTATTCTTATTATTTACTTTCTTATTGAAGATTTACGAGAAAGCTTCGAGATATTAGGATATGAATTTGATTAAGTTATTGAAAGTCGTTTTGTTTGCATGGATTTCAACAGCGTCCATTTTTGTGTGATTACGAAGATTGTGGCAAGACTTTCATCAGAGAGTTTCATCTTAAGCGACACAAGATAAGTCACACTGGAGTCAAGTCTTTTKCGTGAGTACAACATGATAGTGGTTTATTTGATACCATGATGATGATTATAACTTACTTACTAGACTGATCAAGATGCATCATTTGGCATCTGTCATACGATCGAAGACAATACATCAACAATTATATTTGGCACACACACATTTAAGTTTTTAAAGAGAAATAAGATCGATAATAAGAATTTGTATGGATGAAAGTTTCCCCAGCAATAATTTGTCCCCAGCGATGTTTAACAAATAGATCTCATTTTTCCGTGCGTGTGTACTCTAATAGATTACACAGATGATGTCAAAATGTAGTGAGAACAAAAAAGTACGCACGAGACGCAGTCGAGTGGGTGACTGTTGTTCTCACTACATTTTGACGTCATCTGTGTATCTATTAGAGTACACACACACGGAAAAATGAGATCTATCTGTTTTATACAACAAATAATTAGTTTTGACGTAATCCGTGTATCTATACTTTGATAACACACGAAAGCCAACCAATCAAAACGTCTGATTTTACTGAAAAGTTGATTTTACTGAAAAGTTGTATAAAGTTTAATAGCAAAGCTATTGGAGCTATATAAATGGATGGGTCAATAATTCATGAGCTATTATTCTGACCAATTTRGATATCTCTGGGATATCCCAATTTGGTCATATGCATATCTATTAGTATCTACTTATTCTTGGTGTGCAAGCACGTGACCAGAAATCCCCTGAGAAATAAAGAACAAAGTTGTCGCCGCCATGTTGGATGAATGAACAAGAGAAACTAATGAGGAATGCTTTGTGATTTTCATCCAACATGGCGGTGATGACGTAACTTGCACACCAAGAATATGACTTCAGACACAATGTACATGTTCTGGAAATGTTATATCAATGATGTAATGACAGCATTAAATACTGACATTTTAATTTTTATTGTTGTAATTTTTAAGTTTGATGTCTTGGGACGGACTAAGAGCGGCAGCCATGAGGCGCCATCTTAAGCTCGCAGTCTACCATGACTCTGTCATTGTACTTGTTTGTAATTTGAAAGCGCTTAGAGCAGATTTGTATAAGTGCTATATAAAAATAAAATTACTATTAATTACTATTACTATTTATTATATAATATAGCTTGGATGTAACACGATTTCATTGGCGAAAAAGCGGGCCATACTTTCCTGTATGGACCAGATGAAACGAGAAAAAWTTTTTTTATAAATCTTAAAAAGGCTCGCTTTCTCTCTTTTTGTAGTTGTACTGTATAAAAAAGAGTCAAAATGAATCCAAATTTTGCCATCAAGGTTTCTCAGGCTTTTCTTTTTTCCTTCTATTTTGAATGACAAGAAAAGTATGAACAAAACCACATTTTTATGTCCGATTCTCTATTAATTTTACTATTTTTCTCTGAAAATGCTATATAATAAATGTCTTATTAACCTCGCTTGCTCGAGCCGTACAGGAAGCTACGCGCTCAGACCATAAGTCAGTGGAAAAAAACTTGGCCCATAACTTCCCGTACGGCCTTCGCGCTCGGTTAATAAGATATTAGTATTATTACATGTATGTACCATTATGTAATGATGATATGTTTTTTAGATGCAAATATCCTGGGTGTTCTAAAACATTTTCAGTAAAACATAATCTTGTAAGGCATGAAAATAGAGCACATGATAAACCATTCAAGGTAAATATAAGTCCTGAATTTAAAAATAAATAATTTTAATTACATTTATTTATTTATTTTAAAACATGTTCAAAAACATTTAACTTACTTTAAATCATGTTTGTGCAGTCATTTTTAGATCTGAAGACCATTCTATTTTGTTTTCAGTGTAAGTTTGAGGGTTGCAGAGAATCATTTGCGAAAAATAGTCAATTRTGGAAACATGAATGTGCTCATGAAGACAAACTACCTTTTTTGTAAGTCAAGTCAGGGAACTAAAAAATGTAATTATAGCTTTAAATGTAAATTGTAGGAATTCAATAGCGCGAATCAAAATATCAATAACAACCAGTGCTGTAATAACATAAATATTAATAATAAGGAATATTCATTTGCTTTAAGATGTGATGCCAAGGGATGTCAGAAGGGGTTCAAGACACAAGCACGATTAAACAGACACAAGAARTCACATAATTTAGGTGATCAATATGGGTATTTCATTTATAGTATGAAGCTGGTAGTGATCCTATCTGATAACTTAGACATTGAGTGATTTCCTTCAAAATTGCATTTTTCAATGTAATGTTTTTTATTGCTTTTAAAGGATTCATTTGTTCTGCTGCAGATTGCAATGAAAGATTTGCAACATTTCATCAACTAAAACAACACATGATTTCACATGGTATGAACAACACAGCTTTTGAAAAAAGGCTGTAAACAAAGTTCTTTATTGTATATCAACTATGGTATTAATAACAGGTCTTGTTTGAGATTAGCCTCCTTCACAGGCATCACTAAGAACCACTGGCTTCCTGTCTTTTTTGGGAGTCAAAAGTCAAAAGTCATAGAGGCCAAGATGACTGTTACAAAGGAAGCCCAAAAGGGGAAAAAAGAATTGCCTTGGGAGGAGGCTAGTTTGAGCTAGCTGTAGATTCCAAGATGATTGCTGTGATTATATAAGACGATGGATCGTGATTATTAACTTGATGGTTGATGTGCTGATTGGTATGGTAATAGTTGGGTTGCCATGGTTAATGATAATAATTGTTCTCATAGACATTACTTTGATGGTTGGTGATGCTTGCTATGAAGGTTACCATGACAACAGTGGTAGCTATGATTGCCTTGATAAATCACAAATATTTACCTTCCCATTCTTGATGTTTTTGTCAAGTTTTTAAGATTTTTCTTTGTATTCATAGGTTTCAAATGTCCTTCTTGTCATTGGACCTTCGATTATAAATGGGAGGTTTGTAAACAACAAATAATTTATACTGTGTATTAATTAGAAATCGTTATTTATGAAACAACAGAACATTTGACTTGCATTTATATTATTTTGATTATATGTTGCGATTTCATTTGAAGCTGAGAAAGCATTTGGTAACTCNGAATCAAAATATCAATAACAACCAGTGCTGTAATAACATAAATATTAATAATAAGGAATATTCATTTGCTTTAAGATGTGATGCCAAGGGATGTCAGAAGGGGTTCAAGACACAAGCACGATTAAACAGACACAAGAAGTCACATAATTTAGGTGATCAATATGGGTATTTCATTTATAGTGATTAAGCTGGTAGTGATCCTATCTGATAACTTAGACATTGAGTGATTTCCTTCAAAATTGCATTTTTCAATGTAATGTTTTTTATTGCTTTTAAAGGATTCATTTGTTCTGCTGCAGATTGCAATGAAAGATTTGCAACATTTCATCAACTAAAACAACACATGATTTCACATGGTATGAACAACACAGCTTTTGAAAAAAGGCTGTAAACAAAGTTCTTTATTGTATATCAACTATGGTATTAATAACAGGTCTTGTTTGAGATTAGCCTCCTTCACAGGCATCACTAAGAACCACTGGCTTCCTGTCTTTTTTGGGAGTCAAAAGTCAAAAGTCATAGAGGCCAAGATGACTGTTACAAAGGAAGCCCAAAAGGGGAAAAAAGAATTGCCTTGGGAGGAGGCTAGTTTGAGCTAGCTGTAGATTCCAAGATGATTACTGTGATCATATAAGATGATGGATCGTGATATTATTTAACTTGATGGTTGATGTGCTGATTGGTATGGTAATAGTTGGGTTGCCATGGTTAATGATAATAATTGTTCTCATAGACATTACTTTGATGGTTGGTGATGCTTGCTATGAAGGTTACCATGACAACAGTGGTAGCTATGATTGCCTTGATAAATCACAAATATTTACCTTCCCATTCTTGATGTTTTTGTCAAGTTTTTAAGATTTTWCTTTGTATTCATAGGTTTCAAATGTCCTTCTTGTCATTGGACCTTCGATTATAAATGGGAGGTTTGTAAACAACAAATAATTTATACTGTGTATTAATTAGAAATCGTTATTTATGAAACAACAGAACATTTGACTTGCATTTATATTATTTTGATTATATGTTGCGATTTCATTTGAAGCTGAGAAAGCATTTGGTAACTCACAATACAGAAAGAGAACTCTACAAATGTGAACACTGTGGCAAAATCTACACAAAGGTATGGTTATAATACAATAAGATATTAATTATAAACTGTGGTTTTGATGTAAATATTTGGGATGACAAAATTTTCATTCTTGAAGAAAGATGTTTTGTACACATTTTGCATTCATTCCTATGTCATACAGTGATGCTGATGGTCTCATACACCATTGCAGTAACACTATTGCAAATTTAAAATTTATCAGAAAATGTCTAATAACAATGTCATCTGGGCAAACATTTGACAACATGATAAAAAAATGGTTTGGGTTTTGTAATCCAGTAATCTGAGGTTAATCCTGCAATACACCTTATTCCAAAATGGCTGACTAGCCCTTAATTGAAGTCTCGTTTTCGTAAAATTATTCTTTTGTCTTTGAGCTTGAGTGACTTTAAAAGAAAAGAACAATTTTATGAAAACGAGACATCAGGGGCTAGTCAGGCATTTTGGATTAAGGTGTATGGCTATTATGCTAAGATGCATGTTCATATTATTATTGTTTACCTGTGGTATAGTTGCCATTAAACTATATGAATGCCCAGAAGGGAGACGCACAAGATTGTTGCTTTGATCTTTTGTCTCCCTAGTTAACCCTCAATAGAGGATGACATTTCAATGGACTAGTACTAAACAGATACTATGATTAATGTAATAACAAGAGTTCTGAACAAGTTTTGTATTTGTATTTGCAGATGTATAACTTGAAAGTGCATATTGAAGTCAATCACAATTCTGTCAAGTCATATTGTTGCAGTTATGAAAATTGTGACAAAGTGTTTGCATACAGGGTAAGTGATACCACACAGGTGAACATACATGTATTGTGTGTTTTTTTTCCATACATAAGATCCATATTTGCCTTTGTAAGAAACTTGCTRGGGTATTGACATGTTAAATTACTGTTACATACCCTGGAATATTGAGAACAAATCAGTGTGTTTTTTATTATTTTGTTAGCAAAAATGGTAATCACTTTAAATTTGCTTTTCTTGTTTCTTGTTATAATTCATAATAATTTGTGATTGTGTAAAAACAAAACAGTGACTGCATGTGCACAGCCTATTCTAACAGTTTCCTCCAATCCCTGTTCCTTGTCCATAAACTATTTTCTGATTATAAGATAAGGTTTCTGGTCTCGTTTTCCAAGTTCTTCCTGTACACTATGTTTTTTCCTTATATTCTTTGATTTAAGTATCTAATAACTGGGTTTTGTTGTTATAGAGATCACTGAACAGGCATTTGGAGAGTCACAAAAAGGTTAGTTACATTAGATATAATAAATTATCTGTAATAATTAACAATTAATAATAATTAATTAATAATTAAATAAATTA